TATGGAGGAAACCTAGGGGGAGGGAATTTGGGGAGGAGATAAGGGAAATCCCAAGTCTATGGAATTGTATCATAAAATTAAAAATAAAATAGAAGAAAAAAAAATCCAGAGGCCTGGGGTGGGTGTTGTGACCTAACAGGCTCACATCTCATGCGGGTGCTGGTTTAAGCTCTATGTGCTCTGCTTCCAAACTAGCTTCTTCCTAGTGCACCTGGAAGGGGGGTGGAGGATGGTGCAAGTGGTTCGGCTCCGGCACCCACATGGGAGACCCTGAAGAAGCCCCTGGCTCCTGGCTCCTGGCTTTGGCCTGGCCCAGTCCTTGTGTCTCTGTGGTTTGACTGTCTTGGAGACAGGCCTCCTGGATATAGGGTGGTCCCTGTCCAGCCCAGCCTGACACTGCCCTCCTCGCTCCCCTCTGCTGGGGGTGGGCCCACTCGGCAGGGGCCTGCTGGCTCCAGACAACAGCTGGAGACCAGAAATGATGACTTCCAGCTACAAGCAAATGTTGCTGCTTTTTGAGGACTGAAATATTTTACCCCCAAAGGGTCCCTTTGAGTTGAGCACAAACAATCCCCCACGGGGACCTAGCTCCGCAGCCTGGGAACAAAAGCCTTCCAGTTCTCTGGGACACGGAGATGGACGACAGTTTCAGACACGCACAGCCCAGTGGGGGAAGAGATGGTCACGTGACTTCCAGGCTTGGAGACAAGGTCACTTTTGTCCAGCCCTTCTCCCACTCCCCAGAAAGAAGAGCCTCCGAGAGTCTGCCACTGGCTCACAGGGGATGCGGTTCTGACAGTACAAGGTCAAGGCCAGCGGTCCAAGGTCCACTCACATGGGTTTGAAGAGAGGATCTCTTCCAGGCACACCCTGCTGTCCCACAGCCTGAGGCTGGGTTTTAGGCAGGATAGTTGCATGCTCTGGCTGCCATGTACTTACTATTTTTTTTTCTCTTGCCACCCAGTGTGACTCTAAGAATTCATCAGCAAGGCCAGCCTATTTGTTTTCCACCAGCTGCTTCCTGCCATCAAAAATATTTTCCTTCGTGGAAGGAAGGAGCTTCTGGGAAAGAAAAGGACAGCACAGAGAAGATAAACATTCAAGGGAAACTAGCTTTTCAGGCTCTGTCCTAGGACAGTGGTCGTGGCTCTGTCCAGGATGGAGGTGGGCCAAGGAGGGAGGACAGTGGCCAAGAGCACGGCACAAGTTTCCAATCAAAGTAAGAGAAGCTTCTGGAATAACTGTTGTGCTCCCCACCTTTCTACCCCACAATCAATCTCTGAGAAGAAACTGGTCTTTGCAGCCAGATCACACATTGCCACTGGAACTCACAAAGCATTCTGTGTGGAGGTTTAGGGAATGGGTGCCTATGGCCCCGTTGCTTAGGCTGTAGTAAGCATCAGAAGCATCCAGGAGGGGGCTGGTCAGGACCCTCACATCTCAAGTTTGGGTTCCAGCTCAGATCTGGACTTTAGTTTCCTGTTGATGCACACCCTGGGAGGCAGCGAGGAGGATGACTCAAGGACTCCGGTTTCCTGCCATGCTGCAGAAGACTGGAGCTAAGTTCCTGGCTCTGGACTTCCAGCAGGCTGTTGTGGGCATTTGGGGAGTGAACCAGGGGAATGAACGATCTCTCTCTCTGCCTTTCTAAGTTTAAAAAGGCGGCTGGTTTTGTGTTGGTGCCGCACCACATGGGGCATGTTGGTTTGAGTCCTGGCTGTTCTGCTTCCAATCCAACTCCTTGCTAATGTGCCTGGAAGACACTGGATGATGACCCATGGACATGAGCCCCTGCCACCCATGTGAGATATCAGTATGGGGTTCTAGACTCTTGGCTCAAGCTTGGTTGGCCTAGTCCTGGTTATTGCAGGAACTAGGAAAATCAACCCAGTGGATGGAAGGCTTATCTTTCTGATTTTCAGAAATAAGTGATGGCCCCATTAGTTTCTCAAGAATTCCGGTTTGGTGGGGCCTAGGAACCTGCATTTTGACTAAGCAAGCAGAGATTCCCAGGGATATGTCTCAGGTGGTTGGTGACCCACTCTAGCAGGACTGGCCTGTACCCCTTTTCTCTGAGAGCTACTCCCCAATTCCTACCATGCCTCGGCACAGATTGCCTCAACCAGGGAGACTTCATTCAGTGAGTCATTGCCTGAGAACTTGGACCCGTGACTCCAACACCAGCAGTCTGCATGTGCCTGAACCAGCGAAGACTGGGGTCAGCATGATAACAGGTTAATCCTCTGCATGTGCTTGAGCCAGCCAAGGTAGAGGCTTTGCTGGTTGGGCTCCTTGGCTTCTTGAGATGGGGCCTTGTCCTGCCCAGGCACCTCCTTGTCCACCTCAGGCACCCGCCACTGTGCTTGGCAGCTTGTTGGGACTGCATTACACTCCTGAGGACATAATCTTTGTGTTTCCATGCTCTGTGTGCATCAGGTCACATGGACAATACCCACTGGACAATTCTGCCCTGATGTTCCATAGAGGGGACCTCAGGGGACTTGGTTAAAATGACCTCATCAGGCGTTCTCTCACCCTCGGCACCTTGGACGTTCCTATCCCACTTCCCACCCAGGGACCAGACTCAAGAGTGCCTGAGCATCACCGGGGATGCCTCTGTTAGCCACACTTCTGGAAGAAAAGGTGCAGTGCAATGATGCACACAACCCCTCACATCATCACAGCACCTGTGGTAACTGCCCCCATTACACAGAAAGCAGGCACACTGGCTGGGTTATGTAGCCAAGGTCACACGGCTCTGACCTGTGGCTGTGGTCAGCTTTCCCCTTCTCACAGACCCCATCCACCCACCGCATCTCTTGGCCAGACATGTCCACATGCCTCTTGCCTGGTCTCCTTGCCCTCGATCTTACCCCGGTGTTGTCTGTTTCTCTGGATGCGGCGAGGAACGTCTTCTAAACAGGGAATCTGATGTCATGCTTCGGCTGAAACCCGTCAAAGGCAGCCTGTTTTATCCTCACTGGCCTTGCAGCTAATGAACAGGGGAATCTGAATCCTGGATCCCCGCAGGAAGTTTCCAGGGCTGTGTGCGCCACCCCCACCACTAACCCAGGCCTTTTGCAGGCTCAGTTTTCTCATCAGCAAAACAAGGGTTATGCAGATGTGAACAGGGTGGGTAGGAGGGTGCCAGGGCACATGGAACTTCTGTTCTAATTGCTGGGAAGGGAAGCGTGGGGAGAAAAGATGTGGCAAGGAAGAACTGATTGCTCTGAGAGGTGAGACCCATCCTGCTGGGCAGGAGCAGCGTTAATATGGCAGCTCGCAGTCCCTCTTTACAGCCTCTTGGGGCATGGATCCCAGGGGGTGCGCACAGGGACTGAGCAGGAACCTGGTTGGAACCACATCTTCTCCACTGGCAACTTGCACTCTCCCCATCCTGGTCCGGCCCTCCCCCTGGTCTCCGCCCAACCCGGTGCTGATCTGGCATCCTGACTGGTTCACATCTTACCGGCTGAGGATCAACTGTGGGTCAATACCAGGATAAGGCAGGAAGAAGTCTGGAAACACTATGAGGAAAGAGCAAGCAAGCAGAGGGTGAGCGGTGCTGGCTGCGAGTGTGGAGTTTAGCACCCCACCACACACCCGCTGCCTTCCTCGTGTCCCCTCTGTTCCGGGTGGCGCAGCCATTACAGATGACAGCTGAGGGCCCATCAGCGGTGTCTACAACAATGAGAATATTTATTTCCTCCAGACAGTAAAAATAACATTTTTTTTCTTTCTTTTGTAAAAGTTAAGTACCGTTACATTCCATTTTTTTCTTAAATAACAAAATCCTAAAAAATATATATTAAATTGTATACAGTGCATCACACTTCATCTTATATTTTTAAAATACATGATGTTTCTATTTTATTCTCAAAGTTGTGTAATTAAGAGCGTATTTACAAATAAAGCCTTGTCATCCAAAGTCAAAATCCCCTGCTGAGAGGCACAATGGTGGATGTGGGGCAGGTCTTGATGCTCCTGGCCCAGGCAGCAAAGGCACCTCTGGCCCGGGCTTCTAGATACTTCCATCCTGAAGCTGGGATTGGGGGTGGGGCCTGACCTCTGACCGTCCGCCACACGCACCTCTGCCTGTGAGACAGGCCCACAGGCAGCGGGTGAAGCCCCTTTACTCCCTGTGCCAGCCAGCCAGCCTGAGGGAAGTAAGCTGTGGCTGGAAGGTTTGAGAAACACCCCACATCAGGGCAGCTGAGCTGAGAGGCCTGGCCAAGAGGTAGAACAGCAGGAAGGTAAACAAAGACACCAGAGGAGACAACCAAAAAGTTACACATTCCCAAGGTAATAACAAAACAAAACAAAAAGCAAGTACCAAACACCAAACGGGAGAGATTGGAGACCAGGCGCTCTGGGCTGGGGAAGTGGTAAAGACCTGGAGTGGGACACCTGTGAGGCCGCCCACCTGTAAGTGCTGGTGAAGGCTAAGTGCGTGTGGTACCAAGGATGCACACGGGCGGACGACAGCCTAAGAGCCTCGAGGTGTTAGGTCAGCATGGCAGGGCTGCGGGCAGATCCTGGGACAGGTCAGGCAGAAGTGAGCTGATGGTGAAGGGTGGGATGGTGCCCATGCAGGACCCATGCCGGACGTGAGTCCAAGGACTGGGACAGCTGTACTTGCTAGTGCTTTGATCCTTGTAGGCTTCTAGCTGGTTGGGAGTCCTGAGCCAAAACCCACACTGAGGAGTTAGAACAGTCCAGTGACCTCGCCCATACCCAGAAGAGGCCTCACTCCTGTTTGTTCTCTGCTTTGCAAACTGCTGGACAAGCAGGGGTGACCACAGGGTTCTGTGAGATGCAGCCAGAGACAGGGAGCTGGTCCCCAGGGACAGCCAGCTTGGATGGGGGTGACAAAATGGGCTGATGAGTGTCCTTCTGTGGACATGCATGTGAGGAGGCAGAGCCTGGGTGCCAGCTGTCACCCAAGGCCAGGCTTTGAGCAAGGAGCTCTAAGCTCCTCCTGCCTGCCTTGGGCAGCTGCCTACTTTGTGTTCATCTGGGCTTGGCTCACAATGGCTCTTTTCCAGTGATTTTCAACCTTTTTTTCACTTCTAAAGGTGTGTCCTACAAGATCAAATGCTTTCTCCTTATAGCATATGTCATCTCTTGTCAGGTGTCTTTGGTCACCAGAGGCCCTGTTACTGACAGGCCCTGAGGGTAGACTGTGGCTGCAGCGATGTTTTATGGGAGGGACCATGGATGGCCCCGGTCTTCCTGTGCTGTCCTGAGGCAGGCTTGGGTTTCTTGGAGCTGCTTCCTGGATTGGAAGTCGATTCCAGAGGTGCTGGGCTGGGCCTGGAGAAGGACCTGGGATGCGGGGGACATCACTAGCCCTTCTTGGGCTCTGTGAGAAAGGCGTGCTCCAGCTGCTCCTCAGACAATGTACAGTTTGGGGTGTGGGCCTGGAGCCCCAAGGCCAGCAACTGACATTGGCCAGGGTGGCTGAACAACTGCTGAGGCCAGGCAGGCCCCCTCCCAGGGCTGACTGCCACACACCCACACCCACTGTGTTGCGCATGCATCTGCTCTCAGCGCCGGGCCCTGGGTGAATGCACACCTGACGCTGGCCTTTGAGGGGAAATTCCCCAGAAGCCATGACTGGCTGGGGGCTGGGGGGAGACTGCACATGTCTGTCTGCTTCCGCAGCCCTCGTGTGTGACGGGCTCAGTGGCCAGCTGCTCCAGATCAAAGCTGGCAGATAGTCCTGCGTGCTGCTCCTCACTCCCAGCAGGACAGCGCCCCGCCCCCACAGACATGCTTCCCACTTCCCTTCTGTAAATGCCCCTCGCCCGCCTGGACCCGGATGGCTGAGTGTCACCTCTCCCTGCAGACACTTGCTGGCTGCCCCCACACCAGCCTCTGTCCTCTTAGGAGCACCTGGGCACAGACTGGGGAGAAGGGCAGAATTCCAGGAAGGGCTGCAGTAGTCAGTGCTTTATGGACCTGGCGGAAGTAAGCAGGGTGCTCCCCAGTGTGTGTGTGGGGAAGAAGGTGGGGGACACAGAAGGGCAAGAGGCCAAAGACACAACAAGCTCCAAGGTCCAAGTGCCTGTGGGAAAACCTTGCTCAGATAAAGGCCTGGCCATGGCCCGCAGAGGCCCAGGCTGCCCTCCCCAGCTGCTGTTGACAAGCCTGCTTCCGGAAGGTGGGGACTTGCACGTTACAGATGGCATTCCCTCTCACAGCCGCGCCAGGCAGCTGGAGCTCTCAATCTTAGGGCCGATCCTGGCATGACCTCCAGTTCCCAAGGCCTCCTTTGCACACATCAGTCTGCTGCTGTTCCTCTCCTTGTGTGTGGGATGTGGTGGCGTGGGCTGTGGCCAGGAACTCCCTTGGCCCCCTTAGTGAGCCATTCCTAACCGTATTTGCTGCCTGCTTAGTGCAGAGCACCAGTCTGGGTGTTTTTTATCTTTTTTTTTTTTAATGGGAGGCGCCATAAGGGGGGTGGTAGACCCTACGTCTCACACAGTGCTGCCCAGGGGCTGCGTCAGGATATTTATCCCTCCCTGTTCTGAACTGAGAGTTGGCTGAGAGAATGTGGAGACTCAGGCTGCACCTGCTGCAGGGGAGGCCATGAAAATCCAAACCAACCTGTAGGTACAGAGTACCCCTAAAGACTCCTGGCAAGGACTGCTCCATGTTTTACATGACCAACCCTGGAGCTGAGCCACATCAAGCAGCACTGGAAAGAAGCCTGTGTGAAAGGTGTTGGGTTTGACATAAACAGGAAAGGTGAGACCCTATTCTCAGGCCTTCCCAGTTCGGGGGATGCCCATTCCCACCCAGCACCCAGAGAGTAAAGTACCAAGCACAGCAGGAAGCCCTGGCTCTCTTCACCTTTTGTGGGTGCTAACGCCCAGGTGTCCATGCTTGTACAGGACCAGACAGCCCAGCCCTCAAAAGAACCTGAGAATTCTCCTAGGACAGTCCTGTTCTAAACCGTGATGACCAGGATGAACTGATCTGTATGTGGCCCAAACAGAGAATCAAGAAAAACTTGACATATGCTGACCTACCCACCACCCTACAGCCACCCAGAATGTGTCTGAGCCCAAGGCTGGCCTCCAGCGTCTCCATCTTCTTGGCTCCACCATCCCGGCATCCCCATGGCTGGGTCAGAGAGACATGGGGAGGGCCGGGCTCCGGGGTAGCTGGAGAAACAGGAGGACTTCAGGCTGTGCCTTGCCCCTGGAGCACAGCTTCTTCCCAGTCTGTAGGAGGGTAGCCCAGCCAGAGGGGGCCGTGAGGAGAGAGCAGCAGGGGAAAGTTGGTCAGAGGCACGCAGGGGAGGTTGACCCCACCAGCCTTGAGCTCAAAGAGGGACCTTGTGTCCTGGACCATGGTGGGGTCAGTCACTCACGAGGGGGTTGCGGTCATCTTGCTGACTTTGACCCTTGAGCTTCTTCTTGAAGATAGAGATTGAAGTGGAAGGCTTATAGAAAATGCTCCAGATTTCCCCAGAGGCCCCTGGCTGATGACAATCCCTGAGGTCTCCGGAAGCAGGAACGCGATGGGATCTGTCAAACAAGAAATAATGTTTCCAAACAGATCAGGACAAAGCATGCAAAATAACCCATCACCTGTGAGACTCCTGTACCTGTGAAATGGGAAGGTCAAGGGGCACTGGGTTGGGAAGGCCCCAGTAGGCACCCTAAGGGATCCAAGGACTGTTGTGAGGTGGCCTGTGGGCAGATAAGGCCAGAGGGCAAGAGTGTAACTGGGCAGCTTCTGTCTCAGAACAACATAGAACATTCTCATGGGCAGAACTGCACAAGTTTGGTCTGAGAGATAATGAATTTTCCAATTCCTTTTTTTTTTTTTAAATAAGGAAAACTTTTCTACAAAATGTCATTATCCTGTAAGGCCACCTAGCTAAACCAGGGAAAAGCAAAACTTCCCTGCTTGAAATACAGACCCTCCCCTTTAGCTGCTGCCCATCCCTGGGCTTGGGCCTAATGTCAGAGGGGAGCTCTGCCTGCTGTGAGGTGTTGGGCCTCACGGGATGCATCCTGCTTGCTTGCTGCTGTGGGGAACACGCAGATGGGACTGTGCTCAAGGACAGTTGCACTGTGACTGGTTAGAATACAGAAAAGCCATCAGCCCTCCGTCTACATGGCTTCCACACCTGCAGATCGAGCAGCCTCAAGCGCCTTTGTACCAGATATATAAACAAACTCTCCTTACCGCTATTCCCTAACAGTCTTAGCACAGCAACTATTTACATGGCATGGACAATATTTTTGGATTTCTAAGAAATTTAAAGTATTGGGAGGATGTGCTTAGATTATTTGCAAATATTATACCATTTTCTAAAAAAAAATAATTTACTTATTTATTTTTACTTGGAAAGGCAAAAAGAGATCTTCCATCCATTGGTTCATTTCCCAAATGAGCGCACAACAGCTGGGGCTGGGCCAGGCCAAAGTCAGGGCCTGGAATTCCATTCAGTCTCCTAAGAGGGTGGTATAGATCCAAGTATATGAGCCATCATCTGCTGCCACCCACGGCGTGCAGTAACAGGAAGCCGGAATGGGAAGTGGAGATGGGACTCAAACTGAGGCCCTCTGATATGGAATGCAGGTGTACCAAATGGATTTGTACTTGTTGTGCCAAACACCTGCCCCAGCACAGTTCTATGTTTAAGGGCCTTAAGCACCTGTGGGTTCTGGTATCCACTGGATACCAATCCCTTAAGGATGCTGAGAAACAAATGTACATATAGAAGACCTGAGGGAGTGACCAATGAATTGCTTCAACCAGAAAGACTGCGAGTGTTGGGTTGGAGATGTCTGTACAAGACAGTCCCAACACCGCCCAGGGCAGCCTTCCCGGGACAGTGGAGGGACCTACGCTGAATGTTTGACACGTCCGGCAGGCGTTCAGAGGAGAACGTCAGAGGAAAGTGGTTTTCATAGAGCATCAGTGTGCAGGAAGGCCTTGAAATGGGATGAACCTGATCTGGGATCCAGAGGAAGGACCAACTAGGGCTCTAGAGAACATTTACGGGGTGCATATGGCTTAGGAAGTGAGACATCTTCCGTTGAGGTGCCTAGGTTTGATTGACATTTGCCTCTAGCTCCTGACTCCAGCACCTGTGATTGTGCACAAACATTAGAACCAACTCCTTTTTCCTGAATAACAAAATGAAGAGAGCAAACAATTTCCTCAGATTGATCAGAATCAATGTTTAAAGCTCCTTAAGTAAAGTTTTGAAAACCATGATTAAACTACAGTTAATAAAATGTTAAAGAGTTCTTTTTCCTAAGAAGGCTGTCCAATTTCTGGAAGGCAACAGGGAACATGTGTGGTATTGTCACAGGAATCTTTATCCTTGCAAAAAGATCTCTGAGTAAGAGTTCAGCACGAGCCAACACATGGAAAGTGTTGCTTTTCATGCCAGCGCTGCCCCAATCCTCCTTGTAATCAGATCTGTTGGGCTCAGGGGCAGGCACGGTGCTCAGGCAGCAGTGAGCTCTGTGCAGCTGCACATTTCACTCTACAAGGGGAGGATGGATTACTGCCTGACGCTGCCTGGGACGAAGGGTGAGCCTCCCCCTCCTCCCATACTCACTTGAACGTGACATGCAGCAGTATCTTTGCTACGATGGCAGTGACTGTGAGGATGAGGAGGGTTGCTAGGCCATATACTGTCCATCCTGAAAGCGTAAAAGACACAGTTTACTTGACCTGTTTGTGTCCCATTTTCAAATAACAATTCTAATGAAAGTTCCAGAGGACTGCTGGCAGCTTGGAGAGGGTAGGCTGGTAGGAGAGCCTCTATAGGGTTGGGGGCAGGGAGGGTAGCTAGCAAAAGGTGGTAGGGCTGGTTGATGGTCAGGCTAAAGTCCAAGCCCCAAGTTTTCTCATTTCTTCCTTGTCTTGTTCTAGAACTGCCTCTGAGGGAGAAGGGAGTGTTATGTCCAAAAGGCCATGGACTCAGAGTCGAGGGGTGCTGTGTGCTCTTCCCTACCGTTGAGCCACTGTGCAGCCACAGGCTTATGTGGACCCCCTGGGTCACAGTTTTTACCCAGGAATGGTGAGATGTGTGGCCTGTAAAATACCTCAGAAGCCAGACTACTGAAGCTGAGCAAGCAGTGGAGAACCCCAGCCCTGACCTTTCATGGCAGGGTCTCTGGCACCCTGAACCTCTAGGTCGGGTCACTATCCCCAGTCCTCCCCAATCACCACGCTCACAGAAGGACCAGGGGAGTGTGCGGCCAGGTAAGCCATCTTGATCTACAAACCACTTGTTCTCCACCCTTCTATGTGAGTTTCCTTCATAGCCCTAATCACTGTCTTTGAAGTTCTTTTCTTCTTTGCCTTTTGTCCTTTTCTCACTTTCAAGTCACGGGATTGGAGAGGCCTTGTTTTGGTTTGCTGCATGGTCTAGACTCTGGAAAAGTGCCTTCAGAATCATCTATACACCTTCTGGATGGGTGGGCTTGCTCATGCTAATGAACCTCAGGAAAATTTGCAGGCTCTGCAGAGGTCATTTCAGAGCAAGAAAACTTTGGATTTGCTGATTAACATGGACATAAAGAAGGCACGCTCGCATGCACACAGGCTGGATCTTCAGAGGTCAGAACCTTTTCCTAAGGATTAAGCCTCTAAGCTAATGAGAGGACGTTCCCTCACAGATCACAGAGCCAACACCCCAACGTGCCTCTCTGAAACACCCAAGGGCACTTCTGTTTCTGTCGTCACCAACAACGCTACCTTCAACTCTGTGGCTTCCAGCCCCCATTGATGATGCCCAGGAATTGCTACCTGGGACGGTCTGGGGTGGGTGGCTGGGGCTGGTGGTGATGACATAGAGGACTTTGGAGGACCGGGCAGCGCTGGTGTTGAGATTGGCCTGCTCTGTGATCACCTCGGCCTGGGTCTGGTTGACAGTGGGCCTGTCTTGTGGTAGTTCCTCCTTGACAGCTACAAGGTTAAAAAAAAGATAATTAGCTGGGGATGGTGGAAGGCAATAATCAAGACTCTTGACTGGGCACTGGCTAGGAAGGAAGGCCTTTCTCTCTGACTCAACACTGGATACAATTCCTTTCACTGGCCCCACCAGCTCCAAAGAACCTGTTTGGGCTTCAGCTATGGCCTTGTAGGAGGAAGTGGCTGTTAGCTTCTAATTCTGTGCCTGATGCTCTTCGTGGACACCTGGACCTGCTTCCTAGTCTCCCTGCCCTGTGTTTTACAGCTCTGCCTCTCCCTGCCCAGAAGATCCTCTTCTGTGCAGCCCAGATCCTAGCATTTCCTTCTCCCCCATGGAGCCAGGCTCTTCCTGAGCTTTGCTATCCAGACCATGAGGAGGACTCAGACCCCCCTTTCCCATCTGTTGGCAAAGAGGTGGTTTGTGTCAGGGCAGAGTGTGGAGGGTCTGAAGGAAGACAGCCAGCTCTTTGGGCCTGGCATGTAGGAAGATGGAACAAATGACCTCTTTAAGGTTTTCCAACTCTATGAATCTCAGCTCTTTCCTATGGAAACTGTTACTGGAACCACGGTGGTACATGAGTGAGATGTGTTTGGAGAAACACATTGTGAGGTAACTCGACTGTAGTGAGAACCTCATGGGGGCACTTACTCAAGCCTATGCCGTACAGCCTGCTATAACCCCAGGCTCCATGGGACAGCCTGTGGCTACTGGGCTACAGACCCATATGACCTGTCACTCTGCTGGCTACAATAGGCAACTGTGACACCTGGGAAATGTTTATGTGTCTCAATGTTTCTAAACATAGGAAAGGTGCAGGAAAAATATTTGGTGATAGGAATTCTTCTGCTCCCTTATAATCTTAAGGGATCACTGCCATATATATAGTTCATCACTGACCAAAATGTCATTATGTGGTGTCTGACTGTACTGAAATAAAAAAACTCACAGGTTTCATCTCTTTTCTGTATCATGAAACATAAACAAGCTATGAAATGGAAGATGGGAAAAGAGCTACTACCCTGGGAGAATCCACAAGTTGAGTCAGTTGCTCCTGACAGTGCTCTGCCCACCAAGCACCACCCAAGGTTTGGAGGTTGTCTTGGTGAGGAAGACCAACCCCATGCCCACAGTCCCCCTGCAGGGCCCCCAGAAGGAGGCGAGGTTGCCTTACCTTGGTATAAGACAGCGAATCCCTGGGCCTGATTGATGCGATCGGAGAAGAAATACAAGATGATGAAATCCAGAGAGATGTTGAAGGACAGAGGAGGGCGGTTCCTTCCACTGAAGCGGACCAGGACGCGGTGGGTGTAGCCGTCCAGCAGCTCCACCATGTCTGCGGAATCCCTGATGTCAAATAAGGTGAAGTTGAAGTGGATGTGGGAGGCTCCTGGGACACGGATGGTCCAGTAGCAGACCCGCCCTGTGGCATAGGTGTCGGGAAAGTCAGGAGAGTAGATCACGGAAGTCATGGCTGAGTAATTCCCACCACAGGCGCCGACACGGGCTGTGGAAGACAAAGACCCCAGGCCTCAGTCTGGGTCCCCACCACAGGGCTGGTACAACAAACACAACTCTTCCTAACAAACCTGATACCATCCAGGATGTTGTTTTTATCTGCAAAACCAGACCATCTCCTGTTTCAGGATCAATTCACATGGTGAGTCACTGAACCCCTGAACAGATGACTGGGGCGTCTTTTGTGCATGTATCCAGAGGATCTGAGAACAGCACACAGTACAGTGTGAGGCTGTACTGGAGTCGGAGAGTCTGGACCCAGGACCCAGCAGGGCCATGTGATCATGGGGCTGCACTGCACTTCCAGGCCGCCTGCTTCTCTCGGTGTCTGGGCTGGGGAGCTCAGCACTTGCTCCTGTATCACATGATGGTACGACCACAGATGGGATGAAGTGCATGAAAACCCCTGGGCCTCCCAGCAGGGAAGGCACTCCGTGAGCTCAAGCCGGAACAAGTAGTGCTTCGTGGCTGCTAGGGCACCTGCTGTTCCTCAGGGGGGCATGCTCACATGACACGGCTCACGCACGGTGTCCAAAGGGTGAAAATGAGACACGAGAGAGGACATTCTGCACAGTGGAAATGCATTAGATTCTGGTCACTCTGACCTGAAAACATCTGATTTATTTGGTCTCCCGTTATTGATCCGTAGGTTCTAGAACAGGGATAATTGCCGCTTTCTAGGTCGTGACACTATAAATGGGAAATCAAAGTCCCTGGGAGACAGCATAGGGCTGGGATTTTATAAAGCTGGCTCTGGGGAGGAAAAACCTCAATACTCAGTTGAGCTCCCAAGACAATCACTATGGCTTTAATTTCAAGCAGTTGAAGCAATTTTGACCAGTTGGGTCACACATTTTTTGTGTGAGAGCACAGGAGGAAGAAAACACTGGCACATTTATTTAATTATTTATTTATTTGTTTCTTGATTGGAAAGACAGATCAGATTTACAGAGAAGAGGAGAGACAGAGTGAAATAGCTTCCACCCTCTAGTTCATTCTATAAATGGCCGCAATGGCTAGAGCTAAGTTGATCTGAAGCCAGGAGCCAGGAGCTTCTTTCAGATCTCCCTCACGGGTGCAGAGTCGCAAAGCTTTGTGTCATCCTCTACTACTTTCCCAGGCCACACACAGGGAGCAGAATGGGAAATAGAGCAGTCAGGACATGTACTGGTGTTCACGAGGGATCCCGGAGCTTACAAGAGGAGGATTTAGCCATTAAAGCCATCATGCCAGGCCCCTTTTTGTTTGTTTTAAAAGAGGGAAGGAGAGAGAGAAATAAAGAGAGAAGCAGAGTTTCCAGCCAATGGATCACTCTTTCCAGTGCCCACAATGAACAGGTCTAGGCTGAAGCCAAAGCCGAGACCCGAGAACTCAATCCAAGTCTCCCATGTGGACAGCAGAGATCATGTAACCTGGGCTCTCTCTGTGATCCTCCAGGGTCCACGCTGGCATGAAGCTGGAGCCAAGAGCCTGGGCTAGGAAGCTAATGCAGGCCCTCTGATGTGAGATACAGCCCTCTTAACAGGTATCTTGACTGCTAGGCCAAATGTCACCTCTATCACCAGGTTTCTCGGGGCTGACTGTGAGCTACAGCCTCAGCTGAGGACTGCAGGAGCCTGCGACACAATGGATGGAGCATGCTCTGTGGAATGACCACAGCCAGGCAGAGTGCCCCCTGGAGGCACAGGTATGCGGAAGGTGGCAGGATGCCACAGGAGGGACAGGCAGGAAACATTGCCCATTTCCTGGATTCTCTTTTCAAAGGAAACATTTTAGCTCCTAGTGGAGAAGCAGCAAGCATTCTGGCTTCAAGGCCACTGGAGGCAGAGAGGCAAAAGCCTTCTGACTCCCAGGGAGGCAGCAGAAGGACCTTCTACCACCAACAGGTAAAACTTTTGAGGTTGCTGTGTCAACGTAGCGGTTCAAGCCACCACCTGCGATGCCTGGCATCCCATATGGGTGCCAGTTAGTACCAAGGCTAGTTGACTTCCAATCCAGCACTCTGCTAATAGGCTGAGGAAAGCTGTGGAAGATGGGCCTTGCATCTATGTGGGAAATCCGGATGAAGCTTCTGGTTTTTGTCTTTGGCCTGGTTCAGCCCTGGCCACTGCGGCCATCTGGAGAGTGAACCAGTAGATGCAAGATCTCTCTCTCTCTCTGTAACTTTCAGATAAGTAAATGAATACATCCTAAATAAATAAAGAAATAAATAAAAATCTGCTTGTAATGGAAGAGCAGAGGCGAAAGCCATTAGCGCCTGCCTGCCATGAGCCTTCTTGGGTCCCGATGTCTGCAAGCCCTGGAGCGGGGCAGGAGACTCCTCCAAGACCCAGTACAGACACAAAGCAGGGAGAGAGGTGTGCAGGGGGGAGGAGAAAGTCTCAGCCTTGAGGCAGCATCACGCCCTGGCCAACCCTGAGGGCAGCGCAGGGTGACCCAGGAACCTTCCCTGTCCTCTTCCCCCAACAAGAAGCACATCACCATGCAGCCATCGTGGTCTACCACTGAGTAGGTAAGCAGGCAGAAAAAGAGGCCCTCACGTGGGACCTGCTCGAAGCCAAGGGTGCAAGAGGCTCAGAGAGAGGGGCCCACTGGCACCCCAAGCTTCATACTAAGCCCAGGTAACGGGAGCCCCTCCCAGTGAGACTGTGGAGCCTGATACACAACAAGGGTAATGACAAACGACAAACCCAAACCCAGCTCAACTACTGCCAGACTGGCTCCATCTCCCCGACAGGCAGTCCAGCCCTGGCGTGAATGCCGTGATTCCCTGCCTCTCCGGTCCTTGTACACATAGTGTTCTATACCAGATTACAGCACACACATCCAAGTAAGAAAGGGAGGATGCACCGTCAGAACACAGAAACAATCCACAGGGCCAAGCCCAGGAATGACTCAGATACGGGAACTGTAGAACACAGGCAGGGCATCTAGAGGAAAACATGGGCAACGTGCTTGAATGGGTAACAAAGTTCAGCAGAAAAAAGAGTCAAATGTAAAATGCTAGAAATAAAATGATATCAGAGATGAAGAATTCCTTGGGTGGGTTCATCAGCAGGCTAGACTCAGCCAAGAAAACAAAAAACTTGAAGACAGGTCAACAGAAATTATTTAAAATGAAACACAGAGGGGGAAACAAAAGTAAAAAAGAAAAAAAAAAGGATAAACAAAATCAGCATTCAACAGCTGTGGGACAACATCAAACGGTCTAGCGTACGTGCAACTGGAATTTTGGAAAGCAATGAACACAGAAAAAAAGGGTAGAAGAAACATTGGAAGAATAACGGCTAAGAATGCTGCAAAATCAATGAAAGTAACAAACCACAGGATCTTGGTAAAAACTACACAAACAGCAAAAACCAACACATAAGCACACTGTGTATCATGACAGATGCATTTGGTTCTCATCACTCCCATGGCCTTGGTGACTTTGGAAGCACTTCAGGGTCGTGGAGGCGGGAATCAGTCTTTCGTATTAACAAGGCCGGGGTGCTGCAGGGCACAAAGCAGGCCTCAGGAAGCCCAGTTTCTCCCTCTGACCCTCCTGCCTTCTCTCCTCCTGGCCCCTTTCCTCCTCCAGGCAGGCCATGGAAGCTAGAATTTCTTTTCTCCAAGGCAAAAATAAAAATATAAGTCTTCCCTTGCCTTTCCGGCCTCAGAGGTGTCTTTAAAGAGATGCTCTGACCTACTCTGGCCAACAGCAGAGCGTTTATGTACCCCATGGCAGGTGGGGTCCTGCCCTCTATCTGGGAGGAGGGAATGCTGCAGAGGAGCTAAGACGATTCTGGACAGACAGGCCATGTTGGGTTTCTTCACCCAGCCTGAAAGCATTACAGCTACTCATTTTGTCCAATTCCATTTTTATGTAGTTCTTCAGGCCTTAACCAAGTTTACGCAGGGAATCTATGATTCATAGAGAACTACTGGGTGGCTGAATGTGCGGAGGCTCATAGCAAGGGGAATAAGAGCCTGTCCATGCATGAGTGGGTGGTCCATCACAGCTGCATGGGGACAGAAGCACCTGTGCTTGGGTCCTTCCAGATGTCACCCTATTTGTCCCTCCATCTGACTGTTCATTCACATCCTTTACAATAAACCAGTAAGAGCCCTAGTGGGATGGCTGAATTAGCTAATCCTTTGCCACCCATATGGGTGCCGGCTCATGTCCTGGCTACTCCACTTTCCATCCAGCTCCTGGCTTGTGGCCTGGGAAAAAAGTGGAGGATGGTCCAAGGCTTTGGGATCCTGCACCCACATGGGAGACCTGGAAGAAGCTCCTGGTTTTGGACTGGCTCAGCTCCAGCCATTGCAGCCACTTGGGGAGAAGATCTTTCTCTCTGTAAAATCTGCCTTTCCAATAAAAATATTAAAAAGAAAAATAAGTAAGTGTAAATGCAGTGTTTCCTTGAAATCTGTGAATGACCTAAGAAAACTAATTGAACCTCAGCAAGGCAGCCAATAGGACTGGCTGGTCAGAAGGTCCAGAACCCTGACTGGTGACCGGCATGTGAAGTATGGGGGAAACCTGGTGAGTCTCATCCCTCAACCAGCGAGAGCTGACAAAACCTCCAGGTGGAGAATGTTAGAACTGAATTGAGGGGCAGGTTAAGATGCTGCTTGGAACACCTGTATTTTTAGATTTTTTTAACTTCATATGAAAATCAGAGTCACAGAGAAAGGAAGAAAAAAAAAAAAAACGAGATCTTTTATCCACTGGTTCACTCCCCAAATGGCTGTGAAGGCCAGAGTTGAACTGATCTGAAGTCAGGAGTCAGGAGTCTCCTCCAGGTCTCCCACATGGGTGTGTAGAGGCCTAAGGACTTGAGCCCTCCTCCATTGCTTTTCCAGGCCATAAGCAGGAAGCTGGATTAGAAGTGGAGCAGCTGGGCCCGGCGTGGTGGCCTAGCAGCTAGAGTTCTCACCTTGGACACACCACGATCTCATATGGGTGCCGCTTCCCAGTTAATTCAGTGACACTAAGACACGGGAGATCTCCTAGAACCACCTCTACAGGAGGTTCAGTGCTGTTAGATACATGCACAGTACCAAAGTTGACGACTGCTGCACTGCCAACTAGAAATTGACTTCTTTTCATTTGACATCTCTAGTGAAGGCACTATGCTAAAGCAAAAATCATTTTATCCGCTATGCAGCAAATGTCCAATGAAAAGGTACTAAATTTGGGTCTGGCATGGTAGCCTAGTGGCTAAAGTCCTTGTCTTGTATGCATTGGGATCCCATATGGGCAATGGTTCCTGTTCTGGCTGCTCTATTTCCATCTAGCGCCCTGCTTGTGGCCTGGGAAAGCAATTGAGGACAGCCCAAAGTCTTGGGACCCTGCACCTGCGTGGGAGACCTGGAAGATTTTTCTGATCGGATTTTTCGGATCGGCTCAGCTATGGCCATTGTGGCCACTTGGCCACTTGGGGTGGGGGTTGGAGCAAACCAGCAGATAGAAGACCTTTCTCTCTATTTCCCCTTCTCTACGTAAATCTGCCTTTCCAATAAAAATAAATGAATCTTAAAAAAAAAAGAAAAAAACCTCAAAGTATGCTAAATGAGGCAAAGATGCTCATCGTTGGTTTGTCTATTCTGGACACTTCGTATAGAGGGAATCGTGATATATGGGTCTGTTTCTGTGTGGTGCTCACTTGGCACACTTTCAGTGCTCACCCAGGGTGTCACATGCAGCAACACTGACTTTCCTTGGCTGAGGAATATTCCATCACATGGATGGACCATATTTTTGTTCATCTATTCATCAGTGATAGACTTGCTGTCATTGTTTCAGTTATGCTGCCATAAATATCCATGCAGTTTTTGCCATGGACATCCTGTTTTGGAGTTTCCTAGATACGCCTAGGAAGGGAACCGCTGGGTTGTAAGGTACGCCCTGTCTCACCCGTGAGGGAACTGCACATTGTTTTCCACCGCTCTGGCTTCATTGTACCTTCCCACCAGCAGTGGAAAAGGTTCCAGTGTCTCTATTTCCCTGCCAAAGCTGATTTTCCATTTTATAATTAACACCACATTCTACTTAAAATTGAGAAACAGGGAGCAAACCCATACACCCTGCTCCTGTTTCCTCTCAAGCGCCATGGCTTCCTGGCAGTGTGATCCCAGCAAGTGCTTCTTCTCCCCACAAGTCCTTGGGCTCTCCGTTGTAGATTAAGGGTCACCCTCTTAAAGCCAATCACAGCTAGGGGCCAGAAGGCCCCCCGGTGAGGGTTTCTTTAGAAAGCTTCAATATATACACAAGGTACTCAAGAACCCTGTAAGTCCTTCCTTTGTTTACTTAAATGTAGAGCAACCATTTTGTAACCCAGCAAACAAACTCTTCCAGATGAAGTTGGTGGCAAGGCAGAGAACTCTGTAATGATGAATCCTGGAGTGAAAGGCTAACGAAACATCAAGTGCAGGATCACTTGCCAACTAAACAAGAGTCAAGGTTCAGCTTTTAGCCACAACAGGAAGAGCACGTTGAACATTTGTCTTGACGTCCTTGTCCTATTTGAATAGGAAAGGACTGGTAACTTCCATGCTAGGTAAGAGCGGGCTGTAAATCTGATGACTGGTATCCTTAAAACACACACACACACACACACACTCACGGAAGGTGGCATGTGAAGCAGAAGGCAGACACTGGGCTGCAGTCACAAAGCCCACAGATGCCAAGGACTGACAGCAAGCACCACATGCCAGAAAAGTTTCCCTGTAATCTTGAGGGAGTGTGGACTTGTTGATGTCTTAATTTGGATTCCTAGCTGCCATAACTGTGAGAGAACACATTTCTATACTGTTAAGCCACTCAGGCTGTGTATTATTTGTGATTATTGGTTGTGGATTTTTGGTTCTGGGAAACCAATATAGTTGACTTTTTTTTTGCTCAAAATGGAGCCACTCTGCCTGGTGTTAGGAGTGTTTTCTCTAACCCCAGGTATGTATATATCTCACAGACAGTACAGTATCTCTACCCATTTCTTTCTCTTGCCTCACTGGTGACTATCTGCTTTCCATCATCTTACACTCTGGTGTTGGATTGCTGCTATGCCTCTCGCCGAGTCTCTGCTTCAGCTAGAGTGGATGTAGGGAGATGACTGTGAGGGGCCGGGGTGCTGACTGGTTAGGACATGGTGTGGGGAGGCCAAGGCGCCAGAGACACACCCCAATCAGAACACATCCATGGGGTGGCCATTTGGCATGGCGGCTAAATGCGGGCATTTGGGATGCCCGCATCTCACTGAGACATGCTTGCATTCGAGTCTTGGCACCACTTCCAAGTCCAGCCTCCTGTGAATGTGTAGGCAACAGGTGATGGCCTGAATTGCTGGGTTCCTACCAACCATGGAAATTCCTGGCTTTTGAGGATATTTGAGAAAGCTTTCTCTATATTTCAAATAAGTTAAAAAAAAAAAAAAAGGAAGCAAATGATGAAAAAGGAGAAGAAAAAACAAGAAACAAGAACAAAATCACATCCTGTCCTCAGCCCCTAGTTAGCATCTCCTAAGTGTGGCAGGTCAGAGAGCAGGTGTAAACTCAATGCCAGGCATGCTCTCTTCTCAGATGCTTCACAAAAAGTGAGTCCCAAACGCAAAAAAGGGCATAGGAAATCTATTAGAAAGAGAAGCTACAAGATGATGCCAATATTTTAATATTTCTTTGTGAAATTGGAAGAGTGAACTTTTCTGGTCTGATCAAGCATCTCACTCTGGCAAACACTTGGCAGAGTGGGAGTTTACCACTTGTCAATCAACTGTGCTCCCTTCTGGAGGGCAGGGGCAGAGTGTGTTCTGTGCTGCAGTCCCAGGATCTGGCATATGCTTGGCTCACAGGAGGAGGTGCAGGACTGCCATGTGAGTGAGTGAGTCAGTGAATGAATGAATGAAAGAAAGGGAGACAGGGTAGGCAGGCTTGTCACAATCATCCAAGGGCGCTGATCCTTGGGCATGGGGAATACTCACTGTCGAAGAGGATGACCCTGCCGTCGCCACCACAGGGCTGGGTGTGATCCCCGAAGCAGACGCTGTTGCATTCAGTGCTGACTGCCTCCCCATACTTCCAGTAGTCGGGATTGTTTCCACAGAAGCAAGCGTAGCCCGACTCCATCCCGGCAAACTGCCACAGCAGAGAAGCAGCACGTGAAAAACAGCACCTTAGGTGTCAGATGGCCTGCCAGAGCCTGGCGAGATCAGGCCCTGGCAACCAGCTTCCTCTTCCCCAGTCCCTCCTTCCCGGGACCTCCCTCCAGTCTGCCTCCCAGGCTGCCCAGTGGCTCCCTGTTGCTCTGTTGGTGAGAATGCCTTCTTAATGTTTATGCTTCCGCTGTATTTTCATTACTTTTAAGGTACAGAAGATCCCAGAAACATAAAACATCAATAATTGCCTATTATTTTATTGACCATTTTACTATGTGCCAGGTAGTAAGTGCTGAACAGTTGATCCTCACAGAAAACTCATTAAAGGACTCTTAATTGTCATCTCATTTTTTTAAATGACCCTACTTTCAACATCGGCATGGGTTGCTATAACGACCAGTGCAATCAGCACACAGGACAGTTGCGTGGCCCCAGTGACCTCCCCATGCTACTGTTGTACAGCTACAGCCACTATCCCTGCCAACCATGGGCCAGTTGAGCATGGTATCACTCAGGGGCATCCAAATGGGTGTGTGCTCTCTCTCTCTTTTTTTTATTGCAATATATAGTATGGATGTATCACAATTTATTCATCCATTATGTTGGCTCCAAAAATTCATCATTTAGCAACATAACTGTAGGGGTTGGAATTGTGGCACAAAGGGTTAAGCTTCCGCCTGCGATGCTGGTAGCACATTTAAGCACAATCAAATCCTGAATGCACCATTTCTGATCCAGCACCCTGCGAACGCATCTGGGAAAGCAGTAGATGATGACCCAACCACTTGGGCCCCTGCTACCCACATGGGAGCATCAGATGAAGCTCTGGCCTAGCCCTAGTCACTGCAGCCATTCGGGAAGTGAATCAGTAAACCAGGAAACAGAAGATTCCTCTGTCTCTCCCTTTCTCTCTGTAAAAAAAAAAGCAAATCTTCAGGACCCTGTATAATGGCTCAATCGGCTAAACCTTTGCCTCACAAGTGCCAGGATCCCATATGAGTGCCAGTTTGTGCACTGGCTGCTCCACTTCCCATCCAGCTCCCTTGCTTGTGGCCTGGAAAAGCAGTTGAGGATGACCTAAAGCCCTGGGACCCCGCATCTGTGTGGGAGACCCAGAAGCAGTTTCTAGTTGCTAGCTTTGGATTGCCTCAGCTCTGGCTACTGCAGCCATTTGGGGAATGAGCCAGCAGACAGAAGATCTTTCTCTCCGTTTCTCCTTCTTTCTATAAATCAGCTTTTCAAATGAAAATGAATGAATCTTAAAACAAAACAAAACAAAAATTAAAAAAAAAAAGGGGGGCCCAACGCGATGGCCTAGCAGCTCAAGTCTTTACCTTGAACACACCAGGATTCCATATGAGTGCCAGTTCTAATTCTGGTGGCCCCACTTCCCATCCAGCTCCCTGCTTGTGGCCTGGGAAAGCAGCTGAGGATGGCCCAAAGTCTTGGGACACTGCGCCCGCAGGGGAGACCTGGAAGAAGCTCTAGGCTTCAGATTGGCTCAGCAACAGCTGCTGCAGCAGCTTGGGGAGTGAACCATGGGATGGAAGATCTTTCTCTCTCTCCTCCACTCTGAATATCCGCCTTTCCAGTTAAAAAATAAATCTTTTAAAAAAATAACCCTACAGGATTGTTGCAAGCATTTGTATACAGATTTCTGTGTGGATACAGGTTTCATTTCTCTAGGGTAATAATTAAGAATGTCACTACTGCCTCATTTGAAATGGGTGTGTTTATAAGAAATTGCCAAATACCTCCGTAACGACTGTACCATTTTACATTTGCAATAAAAATTATGTAGTCCTATCACTCTATATTTTTTGCTTTTTTAAAAAATATTTATTTAAGAGTGTTACAGAGAGACACTCTAAGAGAGATCATCTACCTGCTGGTTCAATCTCCACGTTGGAGAAGGACCGGAAGTGGGGCAGGCAGGACTCAAACCAGTGCTTGCTTGGATATGGGTGTTCGATCTCACGGATCCAAGGATGAGGAAATCCTTCCAATGTCCATTGCCTGACATAGTTGACCTTAGGGTCTCGATTCACCCATATTTTTGCTGTCGTCGTTTGGCTGGGGTAGTTGTCCAATTTGCTCTGTTCTGCTTCCTTTGCTATTGTACCAGATGTCCTCTGAAGGTTCCAATAAACTGCCATATCCTCCATGTGCATCAAGGTCTGCTGCCCACTGTTCTGTCTTTTCCACTGAGGAGGACCAGTTCTCATATGCAGGCCCAAGGATTGGGGTTGCCCCACCCCAGTCAGATATACAGAGAGGAAGATCTTCCATTCAATGATTCACTCCCCAAGTGACTGCAACAGCCAGTGCTGTGCTGATCTGAAGCCAGGAGCCAGGAACTTCCTTCAGGTCTCGCATGCGGGTGCAGGATCCCAAGTCTTTGGACCATCATTGACTACTTTCCCAAGCTACAAGCAGGGAGCTGGATGGGAAGCGGGGCTGCTGGGATTAGAACTGGTGCCCATATGGGATCCTGGCATGTTCAAGGTGAGGACTTGAGCTGCTAGGCCACCACGTTGGACCCTCAATATATTCTTATATACACCTAATCTCTTAGTAATCAATCAATCACGGCATCATACTGAGCCAACTGCCTTATTCAAGCACAAACCTCACACAGAATCTGAACCCCGGCAGGCTGTCCATCCTTGTTTGTGCCCATTTAATGGGCTTTTAAGGTTGAATAATTAAGGAAGGCAAGGCAAGATGGAAGAAAAAAGGGGAGGGGGGGATCCCCAGCGCCTATAAAACTGTACTACATAATATAATGTAAGCAACAATAAATAAAAAAAAAAAAAAAAAAAAAAGAAAAAAGGGGAGGGAAGAAGAAAGGATCTTTTTTTCTCCTTCTTCTGATACAAAAATATACTGAATCTTAATGGCCACAGAATGGATTTCAGATAAAGGAAAGGAAAGCACAGGAAGTAAATCACTCTGTGGAACCACAAGTGTCCTGCTCATGATAGACAAGTGCCCCAGGGAACACAGGGCTCTGTCAGAGATGGTATGGAGAGGCAGACCATGGGACTGCTCCTCCCCTTTCCGGCATCATCTATAAACAATACAGCTCATACTTCCAAATCCTCCAACTTTTCCTTGGCTGAAAAGTAGAGCTGGTGGCTTGATAGGTCACTGTTGCTGTTGTTTTCAAATTTACACATATTTTTAAGCTATCTCGGCAAAACGAAATTACACTTTTGTCTTTCTCAATAGTTACATGGGTCATTACCTTGAACCTCTGACTCCGACAAAAACTGATGCAAGTTTGGATGGTAAGTTTGTTGGACGTTTTACTGGTGCCAGTCAGAGGAGGTGGGTTTCCATGATCCTTGTAGCAGCCAAGGTTTCCAGGCACTGGAGGGGGAAAAAAACAACAGAAGAATTTCACAACATCTACCTGTGAAACACCAAGAAAGAAAAGTGATTTGTGCCAGATGCTTCCATCCCAGCCAAGATTCCCACTCCTAAGTATCAATAAACAGCAAGCTTTAAACACAGAAGCCTTGGGCCCAGTGTGGCAGCCTAGTGGCTAAAGTCCTTGCTTTGCAAGTGCCAGGATCCCATATGGGCACCAGTTCAAGTCTTGGCTGCTCCACTTCCCTTCCAGCTCCCTGATTGTGGCCTGGGACACCAGTAGAGGATGACCCAAAGCCATGTAATTCTGCACCCACTTGCGAAACCCAGAAGAAGCTCCTGGCTCCTGATCAGCTTGCTCCAGCCATTGTGGAAACTCGGGGAATGAACTCAGTGGATGCAGGATCCGTTTCTCCTCTCTGTAAATCTGACTTTCCAATAAAGACAAATAAGGAATGAACTCAGTGGATGCAGGATCCGTTTCTCCTCTCTGTAAATCTGACTTTCCAATAAAGACAAATAAGCCTTTAAAAGAAACTATGCCTTAGAGTCACTGGAGGGCAAAAGACCACCCCTGGAAGCCTATCGCCCCATACCTTGCACCTCAAAAGGCACCAAAAATGGATTCTTCAGGCTTTTCCAGTGACTGTTACTACTGGAACAAATAAACAGAAATCCACTGGCTGGCAACAACAAAAATGGACTTTCTGTTCAGAAGTACTCAGTGGGTTTTACGGGGCTAAAATCAAGCAGCCAGCAAAGCTAAGTTCTTCCAGGGGACTCAAGGGAAGGAGGATCTGCTCCTGGTCTTTTCTAAGTCCTAGATGCTGCCTGTGTGCCTTCGCTGGTGCTCGCACAGTTCCATCCCATCTCCATCATCACTTCTCCTACTCCCCTTTTATTTCCTTTGCCCTATCGCCTCCTCTGAGATCCCCTGCCTCTATGTTACGAGGACCCTGTGATTACACTGGAATCATGTGGGCAATCCAAGACAGCCCCCACTTTAGAACTCTAAGCTTGATCAGATCTGCAAAGGTGTTGCAGATGTTGTCTAAGGTGGTATGTTCACAGATTCGGGGCACTGTAATGTAGAGAACTTCTGCAGGATCATTCTTTGTGTGCTTAATTCAGTGAGCTTAGCTAGTGCGTCACAATCAGACATACAGTTTGGCTTAGTAGAGGAAACTTTGAAAATGAAGGAACCTAAATATATCTATCACCTGTGTCACAGGCGAGTGGAGTATCTTCTGTTCCAAGCTGGGTAACTTACGTTGGCATCTGTAATGGGGGTACACCTGAGAGTCTGCGTTAACTCTAGGTGGTCGATGTCATGCTTCCCAACTGGCTTGTTTGGGGGGGAAACTCATGTAGCTGGTACTAGGAATGAATTGTATAAATACAAAAGAAGAAAGCTTCCTCCTGCCCCTCATACCAGTCACCTGCCCCCCACTCTTGAAATTCATATGTTGAAGACCCAAATCCCCAGTACGATGGTATCTGGAGGCTGAGCCTTTGGGAGGTAATTAGGTTTAGGTGAGCTATTGTGTGTTGGGGCTCACAATGGAATCAGCACTTTAGACAAGCAGGAAGAGCACTATATCACCCTCTGCAAGGACATAGCAAGAAGGTGGTCACCGACAAATCAGGAGAAGGGGCTCCACCAGCACCTTGAACTTGGACATCCCAGGTGCTAGAACTGTGGTAATGAGTGCTTATTACTTAAGCCACTGGTCTATGGTATTTTGTTGTGACCCTTGCTCAAGCCCACGACAGATCCCTACCTCTTGGTACTGATGCCCTTGTATAATCCCCTTCAGTGTGGGCTAAACCGGTGACTTGCTTTTGACTTTGGGAATCTGGCGAAGCTGCTAGGAAATCACTACAGCGTCTAACTTACCAAGAACTGTGACTTTATCTTGCTAGCTGACTCTTCCTACTGCCTCCTCTGCTTAGATACTTCCTGGTTTTCATTTTCTTGCTTTTTTTTTTTTTAAAGATAGATTTATTTTTATTTGAAACATAGATTTTTACAGAGAGGAGAGGCAGAGAAAGAGGTCTTGTACCTACTGGTTCACATCCTAAAAGACTATAACAGACTAAGCTGAGCCAATCCAAAGCCAGGAGCTTCTTTCTGGATTTTCCAAGCACGTACAGGGTCCCAAGGCTTTGGGCCATCCTCTGTTCCCTTCCTAGGTCATCAGCATGGAGCTGGATGGGAAGTGGAGCAGCCAGGATACAAACCAGCACCCATATAGGATGCTGGTGCTAGATGGTGGAGGATTAGCCTGTTACGCCACTGTGCTGGCCCCAGCTTGGTTACTTCTACACACAAGGTGACACATCAGAGGCTGTGTATCAAGGACTTAAGAGTGGCTCTTTGCCACCTATTGGACTTTCAGCCCAATAATCCATAAAGAGCTGAACTCTGCCAACAACTAGGTAAGCTTGGATATGGTTCTTGCCCTAGTCCAGTCATCAGATGAGACCCGGGCCTTGGTCAACACCTTGATTGTAGTTTTGTGAGACACTCTGAATTGAGAATATAGTTAAACCACATCATATTCAGATTCTTGGACTCTCAGATTGAGGGAAACAATAAATGTGTGTTGTTTTAAGCCACAAAGTTTTAGAATAAATTGTTATAAAGTAATAGGTAATGGCTACATTTGTATAAAAAACACTACATACATGCTCACTGAATGAAGGAATGAATGCACTGTGGGCCATGGACAAACCAGTCTCTCTGAACTTTGGTTTTTTTCATCTGCATTGTTAATTTCTGCGTCATCCACCATGGGGGAAAGTCTTTTCCCTTTCTGTTTAGCGGTTCATAATTTATAGAAAAGACGACATAGCAAGACAGAAGACATAATGAGACACAAATGATAGTTAATCCTAGAAACACTTCTAGGTCAGCTGGCAGGTATTACCCAATTCCAAAGTGACTGCCATACAGACTCCTAGATTGCATTTTCCCTTGATGTTTAAGACTGGAAAGTAGCCTTGCCCAGTTTAAGAAGCTTAATCTCCATACTGGTCTTTTGAACATAAAAAAATATATACATACGTGTTGTGAATCATACACACACATTCACAGACCTTAAATTTCTTCCATCCTTTAACCAGATCTTTTTAAATCGGCAGGAAGTACTGCTAACCCCAAGACTCACCCCCACGCCAAGTGGTTACCCTTCTCCCTTGCGTCACACATGGCTCAAATATAACAAATGTGGCTCACCACACAAACGTACAAACGCATCTTTCAGAAACAAACCACATCTCTATAGTAGCAAATGTAAACACTAGCACTCTATGCAGTAGGAGTCCCAGTGTTCAGTAGGATTCTGGCTTGGGAATTTTTGGGCTTTGGGGTCTAAACAACTGCAGTGAGTTTAGCATCTCTAGGGAGAGACAAATGATATCAGCCGAGTGTGTCAAAAAGGTTTTCACATACAGAAAATTTAATCATGTATTTAAAAGTTCTTCATTTTTAAAGATTCATTTATGTATTTTCAAAGTAGGAGCTACAGAGATAGAGGGAGAGACAGATCTTCCATTTGCTGGCTCACTCCCCAAATGGACACAAAACAGCCTGTTTGGGCCAGGCTGACGCTAGGAGCTGGGAACATCATCCAGGTCTCCTGTTTGGATGACCGGAGACAAAATACTCGGACCAGCTTGCGCTGCTTTTCCAAGTCATTAGCAGAGAACTAGATCAGAAGTGGAGTAGTGGGCCTGGTGTTGTGGCCTAGCGGCTAAAACCCTTGCCTTAAACATGCTAGGATCCCATATGGGCATGGGTTCTAATCCCGGCAGCTGCACTTTCCATCCTTTCCCCTGTCTCCAAGCCAATTACTAATTCTATCTCCTAAAATCATACATCCATCTGCTCCTGCCTCTCCTACATGGCCACTTCCCCAGTTTAGGACACCATCTCCTCCCATTCAGACCACTTCACTGAACTCATGTTTCCAAACTTACTGTTCTCCACTGTAGTTACTGCACTGCAATCAGACTCACCTTTATTCCTGGAAGTGCGGAGGCCCTTCCTCAAACCCTCAAATCTCTGTGACTGCTCCCTGGATACAGCACAAACATTCTCATGAGGTACACAGGGCCCTGCCCGTCTGTGCTGCTCTTATTTCCTTCTTCCCCCCACCTCCCTCTCTCTTGGCTCACATTCTGTGCAAGGGCCACACTATAGCACATTCCCAACTGGGGTTCCTAACTGCACTTCATTCTCTGGCCTCTGGAGTTTTGCACAGCAAGAAGGCAGCCATGTGCCAGCCAGGAAGAAGACCCCCGTGGGGAACTGAACCCGCTGATACCCTGCCATTGGAATTCCCAGCTTGCAGAACTGTGCGAGATAAACACCTGGTGTTGGACACACTAGTCCAACACAACACCAGGTGGTACTTTGTTTTGGCAGTCCAAGTTGACCAAGACAGTGAAGCAGACAAACAAGTCAGACACAAAAAAGCACTGAGTGAACCAGTCTGAGGTCATCTTGGTAAAGTACCTTTGATGACCTCAGGCCACCAAGAAAATCTAGAAGTAGACTGAATATGTTGGATTTGTTTACAAAATGCTCACTTTGGAATGCTTCATAAAAAATGGATTAAGTTCTGAACTTAACTTCTGTGGAAAGCTGTTATGCAAAATGAGATTGAACCAGGAGGGAGTCTGCCGAGCAGTGACCAGCTAGCTGCAGGCAGGCACTGTGCAGAATGGCGCTGCTTTTCATGTGTATTCTGTTCTGCTCCTTTATCACTGCCCAAGAAGCACCTTCACCCACCTGTGGGCACCAGGACGCAGCTGCTGGCTCACGCCATGCCTGTTTTGGTCCAGGGTCTCAGAGAGTATCCACTGACCACTGGCCGTGTCTGCAGGCTTCTTCGTCTGCTACTCTGAGGCTTGCCACAAAACCATGGGGTTTGGGGACTGACACTGTAATATAGCTGGCAAGGCTGCCATGTGCAATGCCAGTATCCCATATCTCA